CACACACACACACACACACACACACACGTGTATAAACTGCAAACAAGAGATCATTTGAAGGAGTTTCCAGAAATCATCTCACCATCTCTTTGCTTTGCAGGAGAGTGTTGGCTCGACTCAGCTCCGCTCTGGTGGAGTCCAGCTCTCGCTTCAGCCGGTCGATCTCCAGCTTCTGCTCTGCGTTGATGGCGAGCTAAACGGAGCAAAAACAGGAAATCTGACGCGAAAGAGTGGAGAAAAATAGTTTCTGATGTTTCTCTCTGCTGAAGCATCTGCAGAGCGTCAGATCAGACTTCATACTCAGAGTTTTCTCTGAGTTCCAGAAACAGCGGAGAGCACTGGCATGAATTTATGGTTTCTAGAAACAGACAGGAAGGAAGGAATTAAAGATGGAAAGAAGGAAGGAAGGAAAGAAAAGAGTTCAAAAGAAAATTAGAAAGTTCAAAAGAATTTTTGAAAGAAGGTTCGAATTAATCAAAGTTTGAAAGAATTTTCAAAATAAAGTTCAAAATAAAGAAAGAAAAATAGAGGTAGTATATTTTTCATTTTCTTTTTCAACACTTTGGCGAACAAAAACAAACTCCGGCCGTTCTCAGAAGCTCCCGGATGCGTCGGTGTGACGCCGGCGGCTGGTACCTGCTGCTGCAGCTGGGCTCTCAGGGCCTCCAGCTCTCGTCTCAGCTGCTCCTTCTCCAGATCCACGGCGCTCTGCTGCTGCTGGGCCAGCTGCCTCAGAGACGACAGCTCTGCGTCTTTCTCCACGGCGGAGCGCAGCAGCAGGTCCCGCTCTGCCTGGAGCGCCATCAGGCTGCTGCTCACCTGAGTCCCCTCCTGGAGAGAATTCATGAGGAAGATAAAAAGCCACGATTAAAGAAAATCACTCCTTAAGTGTTTGATTTCTTCCAAAACTCCCAGATCTAAACGATTAAACAGGAAACAGATTCACACATTTTACAAATTTGTTGTTTTTGTCCTTTATTCTGCATCATTGTCACGAGAGAGAAACAGAAAATGCTTTATTATTTAGTGAATAATTGTAAAATATATATAAATGCACCAAAACTGAAATAAATATCTGTGGTTAATATCATCAGATCCGTTAAAAAATGACTGATATCATCTGACACTGATGTTAGTGCCGATAAATCTTTCATCACTAGTTGCTACATTTTGAGGAAGTTTCTGTGATTAAGAAATTAAAAAAATGTCAAAAAGGCAAAACTTTATGCATTAAAATATAATGTTTCAATTATTTTTGAAGAATCATTTTCCCAAAAAAATTTTGGTTTGAGTGTGATAAATATGACGGCATTTTAAGGCCATTATAGACAGAAAAAAACAACAAAAAAACAGTAAATTTCCTCCCCAAAAAATTTTTCTGGAAAAAAAAAATGGAAATTTTCTGAGTTCAGAAGTTGGAAATTTTCAAATTTTGGACATTTTCCGAGTTTCAAACATTGAAATCTTCTGACTTTTCGAGCTCAAGAGTTTCTTCTCAGACTGAACTCAATATGTTTGAGATTTTTCTCACTAATTTTCGACTTTTTGAGCTTTGAGAATCTCTACGTATTTCCAGAAAATGTCTAAGATTAATCTTAAAATTTCTCAGCTGTTTTTTCTCACGTTAGACTTTTGCAGCTCAGAGAATTTCCACATTTTTTTCCAAGAAAACTTCTGAGATTCAGCTCAAAATTTTTAAGATTTTTGGCAGAAATTTACTGCGTTTTATGGTTTTTTAATCTACTCCGGCTCTGGCACGCCGTCAGAGATGCAGGAAGGTTTCGTGAAAAAAGGAAACGTTTCGGTGTTACCTGCTCTTTACTCTCCAGAGTGCTGCGGAGCATGGCCATCTCCGCTCTCTGCTCCAGCAGCTCTTTATTCAGGCGGTCGACTTCCTGCTGCTGATGACTCGTCTGTTAGAGAATTAAGTCTTCAGTCCAAATCAACAGTTTTTTTGTGATCGATAATCTCAGCAGCAGCAGTCAGAGACGTTCTCACCACGTTTCTTTTCTCCAGTCTCAGGTTCTCCACTTCGCTCTCCAGCTGCTGCTTTGCTCTCAGCAAGTCGTCCTGCACGACCTTTGTACTCGACAGCATCTTAACTGTTTCTGCGTTCTGCAGCAGGACATAAAGAGATCCTGGGTCAGAACCGAAACACCAACAGCTGTGAGAGTAAAACCAAACGACGCCTTCAGTTTGACCTTCTTCATTAGGTCGGCGTGGCTCGTAACCAGCTCTGCGTGTCTCTCTTTGAGCTGCGTGAAGCGAACCTCAGCAGCCTGAGCTCTGCCTGTTCACAGATAAAAAGAAAAAGAAGAATTTTACTGACGTCCGACTGATTCCGTTTACAGTCTCAACACTAAAAGAAAAATCCGTCCACTCACTGTCCGCCTCTTTGTATCCGATCTGAGCTCCAACGTTGGCCACGTTAGCGCTGCGCAGAGCCTCCACTTCCATCCGCAGGTGTTCGTTTTCGACCAGGGCGACCTGTCTGTGGGAGCGCTGCTCCTGAAGCTCCGCCTCCAGACGGTTCACCTGAGACTTTAACTCTATCATAGATTTCTGAGCCTGAAGAAAACGGGGAAAAAAATCCTATTAAGCACCAGAAATGCAGGTAAGATGCAAAGTATTCACACACGTCATGCTACCGCCACACGTTTCTTTTTGTTTTACAAGAAGAGGAGGAGCAAGTTTGCAGGAAATAAACATAGAAGTTTTGAAATTAATCTTAGATATTTTCTAGAAAAACACAAGGGACATTCAGACTTTGAAAAGTCATAAATTGGCTTGAAAAAAAAGCTTGATTTTGACTCTGGGTTCTGGACTCCCAGTGCATGATGGGCCTCATCTCACCTCACTCTTGATAAGCTCTATCTCCGGTTTCAGCGCCTCCAGCTCCCTCTTGTAGCTGTTGCTGTTGGTGTCTCTGTAGTCCAGAGACGCCTCCGGTCCTCCCATCTGGCTGACCAAATAGTACTGCTGGAAAAAGAGACACATTTTAGCGCGGGTTACGGGAAAACGTGTTCTTTCAACTCGCACAGAAGCGTCAAACCTGTGACGTCTGAGGCGTTTCTCTGAGCTCTGGCTGCGTTTCCACTTCGTCCTCCTCTGGACGATCCTCGCCAGGTATCAGCACCACTGGCTTTTTGTACTCAGCCAGGGCAGCGGCTCGCAGGAAGTTTGGAGGACCCTGTGGAGAGGGGATCAACAGGTTACTGACCGAAAACCTGATAAATGAAACAGTTTTAAGGAGGGGTGCACCGATGAATCAGCCCTGATTTCCTTAGTTTTGGATGTTGGCTATCGAACAAGACTCACCTGTGAAACCAGTCTTATCTACATATGCAAAGGTAAGACCACCAGGTCACTATTGCTCGGCTAGCAACAGTCACCCCACTGGCACCGACTTAGCAACTTTTCAGACAAAAGTAGTTGGTACAGGCCAAAATTGGAACTAGGATGTCAGGTTTTTTTAAATATCAGTGGTCGTCCAGAAAACTTCAATCGGTGCAACGCTGTTCATCTCCACTTACATCTGGGAGGTCTGGGATCTGGATGATGCTCTTAAAGAACTCAATTTCTCTGGCTCTGTTGAAGAACTGGGTGAGGCTGCAAAATCAAACAAGAAAACAAGTAAATACAAAAAACAGTGCTGCCTGTTTCATTACATAATGATTAATGAACAGATGTAGTCGTCCTGACCGACCTCGTGAAAAGGTCACGGAATCTCTCTCTGTGTCCGAGGAGCACATCCGCAGAGATGCCTGGGAATATTTTTGGATACGGTTAGAGCTGAACGTGATTCTGCAGAGGTTGCCAAGGTAACAACGAAAGGCGGACCACTCACAGCTGTGCAGCTTGAACAGCAGCCGGACAGAGAAGTGGTAGAGGTAGCTGCAGTCCAGGATGAGCGGGATGAGGGGCGTCAGCCTGCACTGACCAGCCGGGGTCGTGGATTTGGCCCCGTTGGCGTCCATCTGACGGAGAACTTTAAACGCAACATGTCAGTTTCAGTGACATAAAGTGAACCTGTGTTTTAGGTTCTTATGGACACATGTTAGATCCTTCGCTTTATCTAACCAATACGTGCCACGTTTTCTCATATGAACGGACTGAATGTGGAAATCTCACCCGTCTCGGCCATCTTCAGTCCAGCATCCAAGTAATCCAGCAGCTCCTGAGTCATATCCAGCCTACAACGCCATAAATACATAAAGACATGATGATGGCAGGAATTCAAAGTGCTTTTAAAGAAATAAAAGAACATATAACAAAATATTAGGCAGGCTCTATTGTCATTCAGTTGCACATATTGAGCAAAACTTTGTTGCAATAATGGCAAATAAATTAAATAATAAAAAAAAACTATAAAGACTGAGGAAAAAAATATCCTCCAAAGACAATAAAATAGTTGTGACACAAGCTGATCCCACAGCAGAGGACAGGAAGAAGGAAACTTACACTTTGGTCATGTCGGTTCCTGCTTCTCTCTCCAGGGTGTCGTCAGAGGCCTCCAGGTTACCTGGAATCACCTTGTGCTGTTGAACAACGTCACATGTCACACGGCATGCTTCTTAATCCGTTTTTAATTTGTTAAAGGGACGGTTCATATTCCAGGCACATAGTATACTTTTATACCAGAATCAAGTAACTATGTTGCTATAAAAATGATGTATATTTGTCAAATATGACTTAAAAGAAATTTGATTTTGTAATTTGACGCCTTGAAATTCTGTTTTTTTAAGAAACTCTTATTCTTTCCGACACTGGGCCTTCAGGAAGTCATCACAACATTCCCCCATTAAGCCTTTAACAACGTTCTTAGAAGCGTTTCACTGAGACGGAGCTTGTACGATAAGCTCAGCAGACTCCCAGTTCCACCAGCTGCTGCCGCTAGTCTGAAGGAGCCGAGTGGTGGAGGAGCCAGGAAAGGGGCTTTCTCTGGACTTTTAATCTAGCAGAATAAGATCATTCACATTGTGGAGTAATATATGATCTATACTGACATGACATGTCATAAACATTACATTTGGAGACGGTGTAGCAATCTAAGGATCATCAGCTCCAGGATAAAATATTATTTTCGGCTCAGTTTACCGTCAGGATCTGATAAAGACATTGTGCTAAGTGTAAGGTGTTTATTCTTCTGCTGAATTGTGTAAAACGCAAAACTCCAGACACATTTAATTTAATTTCCCTCTGGAATTAATAATAAAATATTTGATTTTATCTTAAGAGTACTTTATGTTTAGGTTTTGTCCTTTCACACTGCTGTCTTCTCTTTTCAAGCATAAACAGATGATAAGCACAGACAAACACTCTCACTGTGAATAGCAGATCATTGACAGAATGAAGATATATCACCTTTGCATGAAACTCCATTTTGAGGTGGAGAAATTTAGCAGACAAGGCAACAATGTGACCATATCGATCGTGCAGGTTTCCCTGGGAAAACACAGAGTGGGTTACAAGTTTAGCAGCTTATTTGAACCTGGTAGTTTTTCTTAAAAACAATCCACTGATTAACTTTTCATTAAGCGCATGTTGGGATTTTGTTAAATTTGCTGACTGCGCTGCATTTCAAAGGGTCTTTTGAATTTTCTGTGTGATTAAACGTGCAGATTAAATGCATCAGACTATAAGCTTGTATCTTATATCCACTGACTCACCCACAGGACTCCCATGTCTCTTATGCTGCGGCTGTGTCTGTGAGAATCTGTAATGACCTGCAGGTCGGGGAAAAAAAAGACAAACGAGGTTAAATGTAATGAATGTAAACAGGAAGTTACGCTGAGCAAATGTAGAGATTAACTCACATTTCTGTGTCCCTCTCTGAGCACTTTGTGCAGCAGGTAGCAGACCTTCCAGCTGACCAGGGATTGGCTGGACAGAGGCAGGTTGGGGACGTATGACCAGAAGGTGGTGGCTCCGCCCTCTTTGTGAGTTCCCAGAATTATATCTGTACAGATGTTAGGGAAACTCCCAATGCACAAGATGCCTATGATATTCATATCAGAGCATATCTATTACTTTTAGATCTACGTAAACAAAGCCACATAGATCTGCAAACCTTTTACAGGCTTTCAAGGTTATAAGTCGTAATAATTTAGGTGATTTCCCTTTAAGTAACCCCACAAAGTGACATTTTTTGTCATCATTTTGTACCGTCTCAGCAGCAATGAAGCTTAGAATGTCTGATATTGCAAAACAGAGAGGTGTTTTTAAAAACTGAACTGTTTTTGAAATATAATTTACAAAAAGTTTGTATTTATGAGTTTTAAATGCACAATATACTCAAATTTGCACATTCAGCTCTGATATTAAAAAAATAAAGCTATTACTCCAATTGAACATGTTTAAAATGACTGATATTCATATTCACAATGACATTATCCAAGCATCTAATAAGAACTGTTTAAGCACTGTGCTGTAACAAAAAAAAATATTTTTTCCTCCTAACAAACTGAAGGTTTTAACACCTTGCCAGACATAAAAAGAAAGTTTAAACTTTGACCGCAGAAAATCCTAGAATCCAGAAAGCAAAACTAAAATTTCTGCTTTCCAGCAAGAAGCCATCATTTTACACCAAAAAGCTGCTAGCTTTATCTTAGCATGCTAGAAGTACAGTGCTAAACTGTTTACAGCTTTCCTTATTAAAGAAATTTCCCATTTACTAGATTAAAAGTCAGCATATTATTATTTTTTAAGTATAGTTTTAAAGGATACTACGAACATATTTCTCTTTAGGTGGAACTTCAGCTGTGTTGGCAATTTTGCTGAGGCTCTGGAGCTGAAAGAAATGAAAACAGAGAAGAACTTAAAGCCTGAAAAGTTAAACTGATCAGAACAATATTACAAAAGATCTCAGTTATCTTCTGTTCTTTACTCAGTGTAACCTTTGAAAAATATTCTGAATTATTTTTACATGCTGAAGACTCTATTGGTGCAGCAGTTCTGGATGAAAGCTAGTTCTTTTTCACAGAGATGAAGCTAACGGCTAATCAAAGGGGGCTAAGATAAAAGTGGACATTAGGAAAACTAAGTTGTTGTATTTCACAGTGGTCCATGAAAATGCTATTTTAGAAACCTTTAAAACACCATCACATTTGTTTTTGTCATTTATTTTTAATTAAAGTTGTGATTATTTAAATAGAAGGCTGTGTTTGTCCATGACTGGAAACAATAACCTTCTAATGTGAAACACCAATTGAAAACCCCCCAGCTATGTTATGTATATCTGACTGGAATGACTGTGAGGGAAATGTATGTAAAAGAACAAAAAACAATAAAATATGTTATTTTATATTAAGATTTAGTCAGTATAGCTTCATTCACTCAATTAGTTTGAAATGTGAAGGTCAATGATGGACACACTGGACCAACTTCGTCATCTAATCGAAATAATCACATTTCCATTTAAATTACAATCTAACACTTGATGGTTTATTTAAAAAGTTCTGATATGAACAACTAAGACATTTTAAAAGCTGTACTTTTTAGCATGGCATAAATTTGCTTTTATTCTGACTAGCCGTTAGCTTTGGCCTGCAGGAAAAACAAGTCTATTTTTATAAAATGTAAGATATGTAACATATTAAAGCTAAAATGTTAATAACCACTTATAACCACTCAATAGAACCCAATTAAAAAAAACCTGAACCAGCTTATAATGAATCAAAGTGAGACATTTCATGTTTGAAGTTATGTTAAAGTTTAGCTGTAGGACATACATTCTGATTGAACATTACTTTTCAACCAAAGAATATTGTGGCACCAAGCTGAAGTCAAACCATATTTTGGGAAAATAAAATTAAACAAAGAGAAAATTCCTCTTTTGAGAAGCAATTTTAATTCTCACCTGCTGTTTGCCAAACTGTTGTTTCTCAGCAGCCAGGGCCTTCTCCGTTTTGTCGTCATTTTTGTTCTTTGGTTTACTCATTTTGTCAGATAAATAAACCCAAGGCGACTACACTTCTACGTCCAGAGATCCTCACAGACAGAAAACAACTGAAGGTACGTCAGGTCACCAGATCATTCCTGTTGAACTTGATTTTTACTTGTTCCAAATGACATGGAAAGATTTCAAAATAAAACCTTAAAAGTGGAGAAAAAATGTCTTCAGAGCACAAACAACCACACGTTAAAAGTAGATAAGTTAAATAACAACAGGGAACATGAAATGTAAAAGATAAATCTTTATATATATATACACGTATATATATATATATAAAAAAGCAGTGTGAGATCATCCAGGTAACAAGACGTAAAAGCAAGAGAGAGCTTTAGATATTTCCTGTGAGTCACCATGTGAAGGCAGTGGAACTGGAAAGACTCATCAGCCCTGCAGGACTGGTTTCAGTTCACCCCACTTTACACAACACATTATGTAAAAACGACTCATGGTTAAAAGAAATGCTGGGTAAATCAGATTAACAATAGATTATAAAAATGTACAAAATACTCAAAATATAAGATAAAAAACATTGAGGCCATTTAATTTATTTTTTCCTGAGGTAAAAACAGAGTCTGTTCTTTATCAGAAACAATAACACTGTGTTTTATTCGCTGCTCTGATTGCAGAAGTTGAAAGTTCATGATTTATAGAGGAAACCCAGTCTTTGGTCAAACCCGGCCGTCTCGCTGGCTGACATTGTGCTTCAGGCAGGCTTTGGGTGGAGCGTCACTCGCCTGGAGGGGAAAACGAAGCGGTTTTATCTTTACACGCCCAGACTTGGAGGAGCTTTTACGCCATCCAGGTTGCCACGCCCTCTCTGTACCTTGGGTATGGTGGTGTTCGGGTGGTGGTGGGCTGTGTGTGGCTGAGCGGTCTCACAGTTGGAATTACAACCTGTGGAGGCGTGACGTCTCAAGCTGCTGGTGCTTTCAGGAGCTCCTGGAAGCAACCTGGAGATGCCCAGCGGCTGCTGTAGAGAACATGCCGACAGCTGATCGGCAACCTGATGAGGCGCGGACAGGAGACTCGGTCGTTAGAACGCATAAAGCTCCAGAGAAGTGCTTTGTATGTTATATGTTCAGTTTAAATCCCCTGAACATTTTGATCTTTCACCAGCTTCTCAGTCCCTGTTGAAGAAAAGCATGATACTGCCACCACCATGTCTCTCAGTGAGGATGGTTTGGTTGCAATGATAGTTTCCCATAAGAAAGTATCGATATGATGATCTGATATAAATATCACCGCTTTGGCTATTTACTGTTATTTACCAATATTATATATTTCCGTATATTTTTCACTATCCTTTTGACTAGGGGTACACCGACTGCGGTTTTCTTGCAGATCGCTGATTACCAATCTTTAAAAAGCCTGACCTGCCGATACTGAAATGACAAATATTACTGACAGAAGTATCAGTAATAATCGTTTTCCTCGTCGTTGCATTGGAAATTAACAGCTTTTTTCTTTACATAGTTTTCCACAAATAAGCATCCCATAGATGAAAATGTATGTTTGATTTTTGTAAATGTTTTGTTCTTCTCTATTAAAAAAAAGAAAAGAAAAAAATAGATAAAGCTGTGGCTCATTTAAAATTACTATAATTTTCCTATAGTAGATTTTTTTTTTTTTTTTAACAAAAGATTATGTAAGTTTGCAATTCTAGACCAGCGTTTTATGCAGCCAGACTGAAAGCAAAAACGGTTCTCTAGTTTTAAAAAAGTTAATGACCCCTGCGTCTTAAAGGTGGAGCTAGGTCCACCCAGGCGTTTTTACCACCTGAATGGTTGCCATGGGAGATTAAGGGATTTATCAAACAGGCATGAAATAATTAAAGCAACATTCCAGGTGTGTTTTTGATGAGGGAATAACATGAGATAATGCAAAAGTGAAAAAAAAAAAAAAAAAAAAAAAAAAAAAAATTTTTTTCCAAAATTCCCCCTTAAAAAAATTTTTTTAAAAATATTTTACATCCCACTTTTTTCTG